TCAGAACCCCAAAGACAGGCCAGTAAGATGCCTGAGTACTCAGAAACCCTTCATAAACCAATCAGATGACACCTAAGACAGAGACACATGTTCATGGTATACAGAAAGGTCATCCACAATACACTGAATGGCTAGTCAGATAACTGCACAGAAAGACCCTATGTGAATAACGCTCCCTACAGAATTGATAATCTCTAACCTCTGATGAGAATTTTACCAGTTTGAGATTACTTGAATTACTCTCAATAACCTTAATGACTTCTTAATGCACATAAAGTTTTGGTGAAATTTATGCTAATATTAACAAATTTGATAGTATTGATGTAATGAGTGAACACAGAGAGACTAAAGAACTTGGTCAACAATAATCTCCTTTTTAAAAGCACAATGTAATAATACAAGAGTCACTCAATGAACAAAGCTCTCCTATTAAAAAGGACCAATTCAGCACACTATGAAGCATTCAATAGGGTTTAACATTACATTGAAATGAATGTAGGTAGCTCCCGTGTACATCTAATAATGTGTCAAAGGTAAAAGCCTCCAGATACACTGGTTGGGGGGGGGTCCATGCTTTTAATCTCAGCACTGGCCAGGGAAAAAGGTCCTCAAGATTCTTCTTCCAAAAGTTCATCTTTCCATGACCCAACTCAAACACTCTCTATCACTGCCAGTGGTAACTTGTATAGAAACAATCAACCTCCTCAGAATCAAGATTTATTGATGTTTATTGTAAAGTGAACACAGACTAGCAGAGAGTCCCCCAGACTCTCCTCCTGCTGCTGCTGAGTGCACTGGACCAGGCCATTGTAGGCTAATTCCCACTATCTTCAGTGGGAGTACCTCCAGGCATACTACCCCTGTATTGTAAGAGATCCTGGCCAAGTCCCCTCTCTCAGGCACTTCCCACAATGCTGGTTCCCTTAGTGGGACCCTCCAGGGGGTCCTCCATAACCACAGGTCCTTTCTACCAAGCCAGATTTAGACTCAGACTCAGTTAGTGTCCTGCAGCTGGATTCTACAGTCTCCTTGGGTTACAATTTCTGCAGTAAATAGCAGAGGTGGTGACCAAGGGTAACCGGAAGGTTGGGACTTCTGGGGAGGGTTCAGTCACTAGTGGCTCTCTGGATAGAGTTATGGACCACTTTCTTCACTTCTTCTGTGTAATGATTTCCATGTCTCAGGTCTCTGTGTCGGCCTCTGTCAATGCTCTGGCTCCTACTGCTCTATCCATGGCATGTGTGGGATTCAGGTATAGGGTCTCTGGTCTGTTGGTGAATCTCAGGAACTGTATGCGATCCACATAGCCAACAAAAATGCCCAGGGTCTCCATGAGATTCGGCCAGGTCAGAAGGGTTCAGAAATAATACAAGGAGTGCGTGTCTAGGGGCATCCGTAGGTGAAATGCTAGACCTCTTCCTTGGAGCCCATGTAGGCGTGGGGCAGGGTGGGTGTGGGTGAGGGGAGAGGAAAAAGTTACAGGGCTGCAGAATGGAAATGGAAGCAGAGGGTTATGGCTTGGGTAGCAGGATGCAAGCCATCCCTAATGCTGCCCCCTGCAGGGATGGATTCCTGTTGCTCTTACATTTTGGAGCCTTTGTCTCTAGATAGGCAACTTTGCCCTCTGGAGACTAAGTCACAGCAACATCAGGAAGAGAGCCTGGGTCTCAAGTGTCTTCATCCTGCTTCATGGGTAAGAGCACAGACTCTGCTCTTGACATTGAGGAGGCTAATTGGCTCCTCTAAGAAGTCCCAATTGTAGAGACCTATTGAGATCTGTAACGATAAAGGTGAACTCCTGGAAGAGGAGTCTCTAGGGACCTGCCTCTCCAGCTCAGGTATAGCCCTGGTGCCCGAGATCCTAGATGCAGTGTCTGAGGATGAACTGTTAACTCCCATAACTTGGTCACAAAACCTTCTAAATACAGACCAGAGGCCAATGAGTCAGTAATTATCAAATACTGGGTTGTCAGGATGCCTACACAACCTTAGACATTAATCTGCCCTCAAAGGATCTCCAGAATGTGGGTGTTCTATCAATGCATGTTCACCACACTAGGAAATGTGAGATATGAAACATTTGCATCACTGATTCTAAACATAATAAAGTGCATGTACTCATGAAAGCAGAATGTTTACCATAATAACACCTGTTCCCCAAAAGACAATGATTTAGTCAAAGTGGGAGATGTTTCCATATCTGCTCATCGTTGTCCTCATCCTTCTAGAGAATCTGTTGGATTCTGATTCTCCTTTTGAATTCTTTACTTTTATGTTCAGGATGGGAAATGTAACTTCCCATAAATGCACAGGAAGGCTATTTTTAGGATTTATTTTCATTTTTTATTCATGTGTATGTTTACATATATGTGTGTGAGACAACTGGGGTATAGCTCTCAGTGAAGGCCAAAATGGGGTGTTAGAAACCCAGGAACTAAGTGGTTGGAGAATTGGGCTGTATTACAGGAAGGAGGGAAGGAACGGGAAGAGGAGAGGGAGGGGAAACTGTGGTCAATGTGTAAAATAAGTGGAAACAAATGTTGATTAAATAAGAATAATTAAAAGGAGCAACCCAGGAGTGAGATGCACAGGACTTGTGAGTTCCCAAACCTCTGGGACTCCAGTGTAGTCCTCGTCACAGTTTAGTCATCTCTCTGCCATTGGGAGTGATAATATCCCTATTGACAGCTTTTGATCATTTCACTCTTTCTTTTCCAGGCTGGCC